GAAATAAGCTGAAGCTTTTCAAACCAGTTCTAATAGTAAAATGATTTAAGAATTAGGTTCTGGTCATCAAGATGAATATTGAAGTTCAAAGCAGCAAAACTGAAGAGTAGTTGACTTTAAGCTATGATTTTGCTTTTTGTGAGTAACTTCCTTAATTTCTGACGTCAGTCAAGAGCTGAAGCCATTCTAGAAGCTTTATAAATGCTGATCCTGAAAGATATTTATTGATAACCATAGCACAGATCTTTTTAATATCCTTGAGGGAACCATGCAGCAATCTCATATGCTAAAAGCACAATAAGTTGCTTGTTTTTTCACAGCATTTCCCTGATGTATCAGTGTTGAGCTGTCCATGCTCACAGGCTGAACTTAAAAATTCATGAAATATGAATGGTGTTATTGTAATGTGCAACTAAATATGTTCCCAACTTTGATGATAATACTGAGGAAAGTTACTTTTGTGCATTAGCTGTTCCCATTGTGGAGAAAAACGTTAAGGCTGGGGATAAAGGGTTCACTCCTTGATGTTAAATATGTGCCTGAGTATGCCAGAAATTACTCAGAGAGAACAGAGTGAGCCATCAACTTCAGAATATTGGCTTCTGAAAATAATAAAACATCTTTCTATACAAGTTGTAGTCCTTTCACCAGCCCAGGCCTCACAATGATGGTGGTGACCCTTGCAGGGAGCAGATTCCACATGGAGAAAACTCCAGTGGGAAAAATAAAGAATTCATAGGCAACATGGAGGCTTAAATTAATCTACCTGATGAACATGCAGCTTTCTCAGAGGTCGTTTTGGTGGCAAAGCAACAAAATTGAAGCTGAATAGTCAGGAATTCTTGAGAGTCTGAGAGAAAAAAGGGAAGATGCACCTCCTTAGCACCACCTGAAAGCAAAGAAATAACCCAGCTGTACTCACAGCACTCCAGCCAGAGCTCTCAGACTTTGAGGAAATAAAATTGGCCTTAAAATGAACCTTTTGTGCAGGTTTTTGTTTGGTTGTTTGGTTTGGTTTTTTGGGTTTTTTTTGTTTTTGTTGTTTGCAGATCATTGTTTTCATACAGGGATTTGGTTATGAAAAAGCTCATTTCAGCAATTCAAAGAAATTTAGCTTTTGACACCACTTTGAGCTGGTGGTACAAGGCTGGAAATGTAACTGGGTGCACCCTGGGGTCATCTGGGTGAGGACCCAGCTGGTGGTGAGGGAAGGCACCTTTGCCCTGCAGAGCCCCCAGCACTGGCAGAAGCTCCAGTGAGTAACAGAAACTATTTTTTCCTGCCTGTTTTACATCTCCCAGATTGTGAAGACAGTCTGCCCCAGATCTGTCATGGTATCATGCTACCATCACACACTCCTGAAGCAATCGGGGGGTGATAGCTTCTGCAGATCAAGTTATTTCTGTATTTTTAATTCTTCTAACTGGCAGCTCGTGTTGGCTGTATTTTAAGGAGCAAAGATTTCAGCTAAAGCATTACTATGTCATTAACCAATCCATTGAATATTCATGATTTAGTGGATTTTTTTCCCCCCCACAGAAGGAGACAAGTAATTATTTTGGCTGGCACTTGAAAAGTGTGTGTGTGCTTTTGACAGAACTCCACTGGAATGAGCAAAAATAGAATTTTTCTATTAGACATGCAAACTGATCTCCTCTGCCCGATACTGATACATATCCTTTAGTTCTTCTTCTGTATTTAGTAACAATGTTTCAAGCTATTTTTTTTTTCTTGGTAGGAATGTAATGAAAGTGGAAAAAAAAATGTAAAAAATAGAAGGAAAAACCTTCAAACTCCCCAGTGGTTGAACCCTGATTTAGGAGTCTTGACAGACCTTTTCAAGGGACCATTTTATTTTTGCTGTTTAAATTTAGTTCAGTGTTCTGGGGGTGCAAAGCTCAAAGCAAATATGGGTGGGGAAGCTGCTCTCAGGCCTTGGAATTCCACAAAGCATAACTTTTCCTGGTCTCCTACAGCCATGTCCTGAGCGTGTCCATCTTCAGGGCAGGATGACAGGAAAGAGCCCCAAGTCGTGCCAGGGGAAATTAAATTAAAAATTAGGAAAATTTAATCACTGAGAGGGTGGTCAGGGCCTGGCACAGGCTGCCCACAGCAGGGTGGAGTCACCATCCCTGGAAGTGTTCCAAAAACACGTGGGTGAGGCACCTGGGGACAGGGGCTAGTGCTGAACATGATGATGGGACTGGGTTGATGAAGGATGACCTTGGAGGTCTTTCCCAACCTTGTCATTCTGTGATTCTCGGATTCAGTGGACTTTGATGTTTGTTGCTGTTATCTGAAGCATTCTGCTCTCCCTTGTCACTGCAGGGGAGGTACAGAGGGATGTGTTTGTGGATAATTCTGCAGCTCTGGTGACACAGGCGGCACTTGGCTCCTCAGCAGCCCCAGAGAGCTGAGCCACGTTCAGAATGTGCTGAGGGTGATTCTCAGGACACACTGAAGGGAATGTGATGCTTGGTGTGAACACTCTGGGGTTTGCTTGGTCTCCTCAGGCCAGAAGTGACTGGAGTACAACTGAACAAAACTGAAATCACTTCTCCCAAGTGAAAGAAATGAAGGGAAAGCTGTTGCTGCTGCTGAGAGCAGCACGGCAGAAGGGGCCTGTGGAACACGGAATGCTGCAAACCAGCTCAGGAAGGGGGATCAGCTTTTCCTCAGGCTGGTTCCCTTAGCAGGGCGGCAAAGGAAGCGCTGCCCAGCTGCCCTGAGGCCAGCAGCAGGGCCAGCTCTCCTGGAGGAGGTGCAGCTGGCTGGGGACAGTCCCAGGTGATGGGATCGTTGTCTGCCAGCACAGCTTCAAAGTCTGCTGCTTGCATCTCCCCAGAATAAAAGAACAGCAGCAACAGAAACCCAGGGAGCTTTTACAAGTTAATCTTCCCAGACAGGGCAGGGGGGCTTTTGCCACATATACATTCTGACTTTCTAGCTCTCACCTTATTTCCCACACAGAGATTTTTTTTTTCCTTGCATTTTTTGGACATCTTTATTTTCTCCTGCTGTGCTGTCCTCCCCAGGACCACACACTCCCAGGTGCCAGGTGCCCAGAGCCATCTGTCACCTTAAGGGGATTTGTGGCTTTCTCCCTCCCTCCTGTTTTTGGGGGATTTAATTCTGCTCCTTTCTTGGGGGAAGTGGTGACAAAAATACTCGCCTTCTCCTTCAGCAAGGAGCAAATCTTCAAATTCTTTCATTCTCTTTTTTTAAGATCCTAAGATTTTTTTTTTCCATTGGTATCATCTCTAACAGCCATGTGCCAAAAGCCTTTAAATCCAGCTTTTTCCAAACTGGTTTATAATTAAAATAGATCTTGCTGCTTCTGTGTAATACATCAGCCTGACTTCAGTGGGAGCAGTGGTAATGAGGACAACGGGAATGGGTCTTTATCCCAGACTGCATCAGAATAAGCAGCAGGTACTTTTCTGTTTGCACAAATATTTCTGCTCCTGACAGTTAAAGCCATGTGGTTTCCCTTTTTGGTAAATTACTCTGCCAAGTTGGGGTGGTGTTTGTTTATTTGTTTAATAAAAAGTGTTTTTATTTATAGAGAAGAAAAATCTCAGTTGTCAGCTTGGGAAACAAACCTTCTGTTTATCCTGTGCCAAAACACCCCTATAGAACCCCCAAACCAGCTTCCCCTCAGCTGCCAAAAGCTGGTTTCCAGCAATTTGTGAGGTATTTCTAGCTCTGTGTCACGCAAATCATTCACATTTTCACCCTCTTATATGAACCTGAGTGGATGATGGACTGACCACAGTATTTTAGGCTTTGACTATGAGTTATGTGCCTGTCTCTTCTCCGGATTTGTAGCAGGATCCTGGGTCTGAACATACCAGCCATAAAAGACTTCATGTGCAGCTAGGACTGAATTAAAACTCCAAATCCTCCAAGGCAATTTTAGGTTTGTTTCCATGGCATCGATTTTTTGTTGGTGTTTTTTGTTTTTTTTTTAATTATGGCTTGAAGATGCGAGGGGTTATCCTTACCTTTTGAAAAGTTGCCTTGTAAGATACAATGGCTCGAAGTTGTTTGAATTTCTAATGGCTGTTGGTGCCATCTTTCTGAAAAGCAGGGTTAACTGTGGCACACGGATAAAGCTTGGAAAACAGGGCTACTGGGGTTGTTCAGTAGTGGCTGTGCCCTCATGAGAAGATTCAGCATTCTGGCATTAAAACGTTTCATGTGAACTGTAGTTTATGATGTTTGTTACTCTACCTGATGTCAGGGTTTGACGTACAGGCGATCCTTGCTAACGACAGCCGTGACAGCTCCGAAGTCATCCCCTCGCTCCGGCACGGAGGAGCCTGGGGAAGCAGGATGCTTCCTTTGTCATTCCGTGCCGGGGCAGGGAAAGCCAGGGTTCCGAGGGGGACGATAAACCTGCCATCCGTGCAAGCGGGGAGCAGAGTCCAGGAGAGGGGGGCTCAAACTTTCTGTGACACCGAGCAGCCCGAGTGCGCTACCGCGACCCACCTCCGCCCGCTGCAGCCCCGCGCTCCCGGTGCCCTCACGGCCCCGAGCGCTCTCCATTCCCTCACGGCCCCGGCACCGAGCGCTCCTCAACCCCCTCACGGCCCTGGCACCCAGCGCTCTCCATCCCCTCACGGCCCCGAGCGCTCTTCATCCCCTCACGGCCCCGACCGCTCCTCATCCCCTCACGACCCCGGCCCCGACGCTCCTCATCCCCTCACGGCCTCGGCACCGAGCGCTCCCTGTCCCCTCATGGCCCGGAGCGCTCTCCATCCCCTCCCGGCCCCGGCACCCAGTGCTCTTCATGCCCTCACGGCCCTGGCAGCCCGCACCCCGCATCCCCCTCACGGCCCGGGCGCCCCGGCACCACGCGCTCCCCATCCCCGCCCGGCCGCGGCGCTCCCCATCCCGCAGGACCCGGGGGTCGATGCCCGGCCGCGCTGCCCGCTCGGCCCCTCCGCAGCCCCCGGGCCCCCGCGCCGCGCTCG